TAAACCGTAAACCCTAAACGGCCCTAAACTTGTTCTGAGTGCGAGTAAAAAGCCGACTCCATGGTGGAACAGCTGTACAAACCCACCATGATCCTCGACCCTGCGCCCGATGGCAGCTACCATTAAAACCTAAATCGTAAATCGAAAAGGTCTTCTGCAGAGCAGATAAGTTTAAACAGACCGTCCAAAGAGAAAAGACTCCAAATTGTGGAAGCAGCTTCGGGACTGCTTCTGAGGCTTGCTAAGATAGGTTACGTTGCTGCATGACCAAAAAACAGGGTCGTGCAGCCTGAACGGTTCTTTGCTTGCGGTGTGTGGGTTTGGTGTATTGGATCATGTGCAACACCGGTGGCTGCATGCTGATGCGCCTTATGCTTGCCGTATGGGAGGTGCCGAGACTGGAATGGGCCAGCAAAGCTCCAGCAGATGAGCATGATGGTGGCACGGGTGGGTGGTGGCTGGGCGAGTGTGCACACTGGCTGATGCATGTTGATGCGCACCCGATTCTCGCCGTCCTGGGCCATGCAGGGAGTGTGTGGGCTAGAAAAGCTCCAGCTGATGCGCACAATGCTCGCCATCCTGGGCCGTGCTGGGCCAGAGAAGAGCGTGCAGAGAATTTGTGGGCCGCAAAGCTTCAGCTGACAGGCTGCTAGCCATGATGCTGGGTGTTGGACCGGTGTGGTGGGTCAGTGAGCACAGGACTGTTGGATGCCGAGCATGATGGCGATATTGGTTTTGGGCTTCCTTACGATATCAGTCTGCAGAGCCAACTTGGGGGGTTCGGGGGTTATTATTAGGGTCCAGTGCATATCGCCGAATATCACCTGACGGGTTGTAGACTTCGATGGAGGTTGATCACAAGCCCTTCGGCCGGAATCCCTTAACACGATCCTCAAAGCCTGATTCATTGAAACCCTAACCCTCCGCTCCATGGAACGAGTGACTGCTTGGCGGCGAGCCGGAAACTCTGAGTGTGAGTGCACAGAACGTCTACAGTAAGCCCCGAAGCCCTAAATCCTAAACCGAAAAGACGTGACACAAAAATCTCAAACCGTTCAACCGCTAAACCCAAATCATTTCGGTAAGGCTGCCCCCAGCTTTCTTCCTGTCCCCAGGCCGGCAGAAAGCCATTTGGAGGCGAGACCAGGAGTGGGAGATTGGTTGTTGCAGCTTCAGCAGCTAACAAGGCTTGTAGACCGACTTTTTCAGGCTTCTAGACTGGTTCTTTGCAGGTTGTCATAGATTTGGAAGTTGAGGCTTGAGGTTTTAGGGTTCTGGGATGAGCGTTTGGCGTTGAGGCTTCGGTCGGGAAAATTTGCAGGCAACGTTGACTGTCTGATTCTGTTTGCAAAACTCGATCCCAGTCCTAAACCATTGCACGATGGTAGACAGGGCAGTGGCATGTCGGTGGTTGGTACTCCGCTTTACTGGCTTCCTGGTAGCAGTGACACATAGGCATATCCGTGTTACGCTACATTGCTTTTTTGTCTTTTTGTTTTAGATTTTTTAGAGTGGAGCGTAGTGGGTTTGAAGGTTCATGTTTTGGGGAGGCATCTACCTCTGGTAGTATCCAATTACTGCCCCATATACGCTCAACACGCACATCCCAATCAGTTAATATTTTTCCTCTAAAACATTACAATGTATCTTGTCCGTGCAGATGTGCTCCTTACTACGTCCTAAATCCTGCATCCTCCTCGGCTACAGATGCCCAAATCGTCACCGCGAAGAGCATGCTTTGGACTGTCTTAGTTTTGTGATGCCCGCAATGCTGGGAAACTCCGATTTCAAGGAATATTTGTCTTTATCATTTCGATTTGGTTTTTATATGATTTCAGGAATCCTTCCGGTTACGATTTTCTTATGATTTCCTTATGGTTTACGATTGTGTTACGATTTGGATACGGTTTGCACACGATTTGGATACGATTTCGATACGAATTTGATACGAATTTGATACGATTTCGATTCGTCTCCAGCCTCCTCCAGGACTGGTTTTGATGTGTTTGCTATGTTTTTGATATGGTTTTCGGACTTGCAGCGGAGCTGCTTTCCGAGCCGTGCTTTCCGCGTAGCCGTATTGAAATCGCAACCAGGACCGTATCAAAATCGTAAACGGGGAAAAACCCTGACCCAAAAGAAAACCATAAGATAATCATAAACATAATTCCCGGCGGCTACCCTGACTTTCCCAAGGCTGGGCTTCATAATCTTAGTTTCGGTTCAGAGTGTCCTGCACGTTTTCTCGGGATTTCTGGGACGTCGGTTGCGAACTTCGTGAAACCCCTTTAGAGACCGTGAATTTCCGAAGTTCCCACAGCCACAGAGGGCCCAACGGGTGGTGTTGCTTCTTGCGACTGGCAGCTTTCGTGAACGGGTCACGGCCCTTGTGGACAAGTGGAACACAGGAGCTGAGGCGGCGCGCACGGGGGAGGGTTCTGGGTCTGGGGCGAGTGGCAGTGCAGAAAAGCCGTTGCCTCTCAAGTGCCAGCTTTGGGCTGCGGTGGCTGCACAACTGGTGGAACAAGGTGTGGACGAACCGGTCAAGAGCACACTGCTCGCCACGCCCCACACTGCTATCGAAGCATCTTATATCAAACCCTCGCAAGATTCTGACCGACCACTTACGTTTGCTCTTCTGTTTCGTGACAACCTTGAGGGCCTTAACACCAGAGCCGCACTCTCTTCCAGGGCAGCCCAGACTGCGGTTGCAAAGACTGCAGAGGGTGTGTGGCCACCTCTCGATCTTTAAAGTGGGAGGTATACTCCTGGGTCTCTGCACAGAGCGGTGCTCGAGGACTGCTTGGGACACTGCCAGGGGCAAATCAGGGCCTTCTTCAAAGGCAAGGGATAGGGAGGTCGTGGCTCACCCCCACGGCTTGGTGCGCAGGGCGGAGGAGGGTCGAAGCGTGGGGCACAAGCGCGTGTGTCTGTTGCCGCGAACCGTGAGCCAAAGCACGGCAAACGTTGAGCGGCTTCTTGCTTGCAAGTCTAGTTGATGTTTTGTTTGGGTGAAGTCAAATATGTACTCCTTGCGTTCTTTGAGTTCAAGAACCATAAAGTCGGTGCCGTCCGACTTTGGAGTCCAGTCGGTACCGCGCGGCTGCAGAAATACAGTCGGCACCGTCCGACTTCTGCTGTGTCTTATCTGGGTCGGTTTTCGTCAGTCTTGTCGGGGTCTTGACACACCGTGCCGTCTTTTGGACTGTTGATGTTGCAATTGTATGTTGGCGGTTCGTGTCCTTGCGCATGTCTTGGCTACAGGCAGGTTGTGAGTATTGCTCGTGTCTTCTCTCCTTATGTTTGGTTGATTTGCAGGTAGCATCTGGTCCTTCTTGGTTTCCCTCTCATGGTCTGGGCTTTTCGTCAGGTTCTCTGTTTTGTCGCTCTGGGCTGTGTTTTGTGTTGGCCTCTGACCTTCGTGGGTTGTTTACTGGTGCTCATGTTGCTTGCGAGTTGGCGCATCTTGCGCTGAAGAATTTGCGATGCCCCACATATCACTTTTCATCATGACATCTTTGGTGGTGGTTGGTCGGGTACAGCGACTGCCGGTATGCTTCTTCTGCATGGTAGCCAGGTTCTGGGACTATGCCTCTATGGGGGAGGACAAGTCCAAATCCAGGCCTGGGTCCAAAGGCCAATGCCTGCAACGTCTTCCTGAGCTATTTTGGATGGTACGGTGCCGCCGCGGGTGTGAACGAACTAGTGGAATCTTCGGAATGTGCCTAAACCCACTAATGTGACGGATGGTGAGTATGTGTGCGACTTTCCTGGATGTGGGAGAAGGTACACAACCAAAGGTGGATTGTCGCACCATAAGCTGATTGCGCATAGGGTTGGAACATGTCGGCAGGCAGATTTTGACTGTGAGGAAACGTGGTTAACACGACATGTTAATTATGATCACGCGCTTGCTGTATCTGCCATGGCTACCGGCCTGGTGCTCCTAGCCTGAGGCTGCACATTGCGGCGGATCACATGTTTGAGGAGAAGGATTTCCCTGCACCATGTGCATTGTGTCTCAGAAACAATTTGGTTAGCGAGACGTTCAAGAGCGTTCATCAGTTCAAACACCACCCCAAACGGTGTGACTCAAACGTTTCCATCTGTAGCGCAGCCTTTGCTCAGCTTCTTGGTAAGTTGGTAGCATGGCCGATAAGAGGTCTGTCCCGTCGCGGGTTGACTCCCTGGAAAGCGACAAGGACAAGGTCCAACGGCAGTGAGTGGTGTTCACTCAAGGTGAGTTCCGTGCACGTTTGGAGGAGGCTTGGGCGGGGTGGAAGGAAGGCGCCAGCAAGGCCAAAGGGGGGAGACTGCGGCTGCCAGGTCCGGTGACAAGGTGGTTCCGTTTAAGCTGCAGGCAGCTCGCCTCACAGGGCTTGGACGCGGAAGTGGTCGCGGGGCTTCCTGGTTTTCGTGCTGAGGACGTCGTGGAGTCCGTTCAGGTTAAGGAGCCGCCTGAGGATGTTTCCAAGGTATGGGTCTTTGTGTTGCTGTTCCAACCATCGTGGGGAGGGTTATCGGTCTCTCAGCTGCTCGGGGCTCTGTCAGTGCTGCAAACAACGGGCAAGAAAGGAGGGGTGTACCCCCGTTCAATTTCTAGGAGTTTCTAGGCATTTCTCAGAATTTCTAGGCATTTCTAGGAATTTCTAGGAATTCTAAGAGGTTCTGGGAATTTCTAGGAATTTCTAGGAGATTCTTCTAGGAATTTCCAGGAATTTCTTGGAATGTCTAGGCATTTCTAGGATTTTTTAAGAATTTGAATTTCCAAGAGTTTCTAAGAATTTCTTCGGAATTTCTAGGCATTTCTAGGAATTCCTTTGAATTTCAAAGAGTTTCTAGGAATTTCTAGGGGAATTTCAAGGAATTTGTCTAGGTATGTTTACGAATTTCTAGGCATTTCTAGGAATGGCTAGGAGTTTCTTGGAATGTCTAGGCATTTCTAGGAATTTCTAGGCATTCTAGGAATTTCTAGGAATTTCTAAGAGTTTCTGGGAATTTCTAGGAGTGTCTAGGAATTTCTAGGAATTTCTTGGAATGTCTGGCATTTCTAGGAATTTCTAGGCATTCTAGGAATTTCTAGGAGTTTCTAAGAGTTTCTGTGAATTTCTACGAGTTTCAAGGAATTTCTCGGAATTTCTATCAATTTCTAGGAATTTCTACCAATTTCTCGGAGTTTCTAAAAGTTTCTAGGAATTTCTAGGAATGTCTAGGAATCTCTGGGAATTTCTGGGATTTCTAGGAATTTTTCTAGGAATTTCTAGGAGTTTCTAGGAATTTCGACGAGTTTCTAGGATTCTAGGAATTTCTAGGAATTTCTAAAAGTTTCGAGGAATTTCTAGCAATATCCTGAGCAGAGGGGGGAGGGGGGGAGAGAGGGGTAGGGAGCGGGGGCCCATTGCGGTTGCGACCAGACAAATGGCTTGTCTAGACATGCCAACACAGCAGGACATGCTCCGTAGAGACGTTGACCTGCTCGGCCAGCAGGTTCGCGTGGTGCTAGTCGGCTTTTCGCCACTCGACGCCGAGTATGACCGGCTGCAGCAGTTTAATCAACTGCGTGAGTTTACTGCATCCGCCTTACCCATTGTACAGACCACCCTTCGTGACACGCTGGGCGACCCATGGTGTCAGCCTCGTATGAACACTGCTTCCTCATAGATAGAGAGAGAGAGAGAGAGAGAGAAATGTGATAGATAGATAGATAGATAGCAAATTCTGTGGAAAGCTATTCTTGCTCATGCAAAAACGCATTCAACACGAAGGCAGCTGCACGAAGCGCCCTCGCATTGGGCTACAAGATAACATCTTCTGGCAATGCCCATGTGGCTGGCAAATCGACAAAGGAACGACCACGCCCAAAAGCTCGAAGTTCTGCCGTGGAACTATGGAAGCAAATCTTACGTGCAGCAAATGTTCCAAACAATGGGACAGCATCACGGCGTGCCAGGCTCACGAGAACCAGTGTCGGGGAAGGATCGGGTGGGCCTCAGTTGCTTGTCGATGTAATCGTTTCATGTTTGTTGTCAGATGGCAATGCTAACGGGGGGCGCGGGTCGGCGGTTCGGATGAGGGCCGGGCCCGGAGCCTCCCACGGGCAGGGCTACCCCGGGCTATCGCCAACGGCCCTGCCAAAACCTCGAAGAGAAAACTCGACCTTGCCCAGAGGGCGATGGGGTTCAGCTAGTGAAGCGGGCGGACAGGCGTTGAGCACCCCCCAAAGCCTGGCGGCGCCGACATCAGCAGCATCACTGGGGGGCGCTGAATGTGCCCACACTCGCATGTCAGATTTCTGTGGGGAATGACGGCGACTTGACATGTCGGGAGACTGATGTTGACAGGCTTGATATTCTGTGTGAGCTGAAACAGTCGCATGGCATATCGCTTTGCTGTATGTGGTGACTATATGTATGTTTTCTCGGGCCTGCCTGAAATTGCACCGAAAGCAATGCAAGGTGTTGCTGTTTGCATGAACCCTAAAATGCACCGTGCGTGGAGGCGGCGGTCCAGTTTTGTCGTTATGAAGGCAGTCGTTTATTGCAGGTGAAACAGTGGTGAAACTGCTATTGCATGGACGTGTCGTGAATGTTTTTGCGGTTTATGCACCCAACTTTAACGCTGTAGCGGCGGAGAAGGATGCGTTTTATGACAAGCTGCGGGAGTTGCTAGGCACGGTACGTAGTGGTGAGGAAGTCTTAGGGTCGGCCACGGTCAATGCCAGGGTTGCTATCGGATGGTTCGGTCTTGGGCATCTCAATGACAATGGAAAAGGATTGCTACGTCTCTGCGAGGGTTCGCCCACAGGTTTACTTAATGTGGCAGGAAGGTTTTTTTTAAGCATAAGCGTTATGGTACGTTGCATGCGAAGACCAAGCATTAGCATCATATTGATCATGTCCTGGTGCCAGTGTGCATTATGCGTCTTATTATGAACGTCAAAACCATGCCCGGCTCTGTTTTTGATACGGATCATCGTATGGTCAAGAACACAAAACTAGTTGTGGTTGTACGCTGTCCGTTTGTTTGCACAGGATACACTAGGGCTATGGGCTCAACCGCGCCAAAACAAGCCCTCAGTAGGTAATTCCTCACGTTTGTTGGAGCTCAGTCATCAGCGTAAAGCGTTTTATGCCTCCTGTGCCCATGGGGCGAGTCGCGAGATGTACCGACAACTATGCAAGGAAACAAGGCGAGAGATTCATAAGATTATGAATACTTGGTGGCGAGACACGGCTAAGACGATACGGGTATTTCTCGGAACGACTGAATGTGCCTGGGTCTGTCAAGCCGGCGCATTTCGATGCTTTAAGTCGAGTGGATACCGATGATACTCTTGGGAGTCCTCCATGCTTCGCGGCAACGGCCATTGATTGGCTGCCATACCAGGTAAGGTGTTTGGGAAAACTGCTAATGCCAGACTATGTCAACATGCTGAAACGTCTTACTCAGGAGTTCCAGGTTTATGTTAGTCAATCGCTGGGCCTTGACAGTGTCTGTCGAAAAGACAAAGGCTATGTGCACGACGCAGGCTAAACAGCCACCGATCCCGGTTCTATCGCAGCAGGACAAGGATATAATTGCATTTGTCGAGACCTTTCAGTATCTTGCATGCCAAATTAATTTTGATGGTGATTGCACCCCGGATATAATGCACAGCCTCGACAGTATGGTATTTCCAGGAGCTTTCGTCTGATGTTAAGGTGATACTGTTTCGTGCTTGCGTGCTGTCAGTTTTGTTGCACCGTTGCGTGGCGCGGACGAGACAAGTTACTCTTGTTCCATATGACTTGTTTACGTGTTATCAGCCGGGTCGCGCACTGGCAGCAGCAAAGTTGGCACCTGAGTAATGATACCCTTAGGGGCTGGTTGGGCGCCCCGGATATCATCGCGCTGATCACACAGCACCAGCTTCGCTGGATTGGCCATGTTGCCCGAATGCCGCCGGATCCCTTGCCTAAGCAGAAAAACTGTTTGTTTCTTCCCGAATCCGTTGGCGCACAACGTCTTTCGGGTGCGATGAACGGAAAATGGTATCGTCAAACTTTACTGGAAGCTATGCGTGTGGCGGAAATATCCCTCGCGTTTTGGACACCATTTGGGAATGGGAATAGTGACGACCTGCGGGTGGCTACCAGGAGAGTTGCATTGTGGTATAGGCCTATGCACCCACGACAAAATGCCGATATACCAAACAGAGAAGCGGAGTGAGGTAAACTCTTTAAAAATCGCACGGCGCATCCGGAAAAAATGTTTTGCGGCTGCGGTACGTAAGGCAGATGACTGGATCAAGGCACAAACGGCCGAGGCGTCGGGGCTTTTGTAATTTTGAGCACATGGAGCTCAGCCTCTGTGTCTGTTTACTTTGGCACTCCGGCACGGTCGGCAGCATGCAGCTTTATCTTCTCCCGCGCAACATCGGTCTACGCCCGCCGCTGAAGAGGCCCCGAGCCCTGAATCAGAAGGTCCTGGCGCCATGAAGCCGGTGCAATCCGAAGCCTCTAAAGAATGGGGGGCAAGTTCCCGAAGTCCCCATGCATAAACCGTCTTCTTAAAGCCTGCACTCCGCTAAGCGAAGCGGCGGAGCACAAAACGTTAGTGCTCTCAGCTGCCGTCAGCTTTCAGCCATACTTGTAACAAGCGAGCCGTCTGGTTTCATCTATCAGAATCTATGATATCCGCTGGACATAGGGGTTTAGGGCCAGGGGATACGACCAACAAATAGCAGAAACAGCAACAGTGACAGTGACATAAAGCAGCTTTGATGACCAGAGGACCTGCTACCATGACTCTTTCTAGTCCTCTTGCTCAGAACTATAAGTGGACGAGTGGCCTTATAGTTGTAGTAGTAGTCATCATAATAGGAATAGTAATGGTAATCATAGTAATAGTAATAATAGTAATAAAAACATTGTTAATAATGACAAGAACACGAACCCTAAGCCCTCAAAGCCTAAAGCCTCAGCCTGAGACCATTAATTTTAGCACTCAACCCTGGACCCGGCAGGACGAAGCAACGTGGTCGAAGTACCAGAAGTGTCAGAGCCCGTCGGCATCGCAGGCGCGTCTGAACCCGAGAGCCGTAAGGCCTTGAGCCAAACAACCCTAGAGATTTACACCGTTGTCCTTGTCGTCGTCGTTATCGTTGCTGATGTTGGCGATGATGCTGATCAGGGTTAGGACGGTGCTGTTGTTGCTGCTGCTGGTTGATGATGCTGATCATGATGATGTTGATGTCGAAGATGTGGGCGAGGGCGAGGACCAGGAGGAGCACGACAACGACGCGAGGCTTTGACGGCAACAATGCAACTCGTTGTATGTCATGATCGTCGTGACAGTAGATATGGTAACAATAAGAACGAAGGTTATGGCTAGTAATACTTGTGCTTGTAGCAAGAGCAGCAGCGGTAAAATCAGAACAGCAATATAATAAAGACGACAGCAGAAATGAAGGACAAGTCAGCACACAACTCCCTTAGCCACAATGCCAAGTCGGTTGACGGTTCAGCGTCTAGCGATTGAAGGTTTGGAGAGTCTGAAGCCAAGCCTAGACCCTAATCCCCGCACCCGAAACCAGGCCCAGGAAGAGCCTGCTGTCATCTTGACTTGGCCGCAGGTTTGTCACCGAAATCTGCGCCGCAGTCTCCTTCCAAGCCGGGAACTTGAAATGCACCCAACTCCTCAAGCCCAAAACCCTGCTGAAAGCTTTCCTGGCAGGGATTGCAAAGACTTCAGGGTTTCGGGTTCTAGGCTAGCAAGAGGGGCCTCAGGTTATTGAATCTGCACGTGAGGCTGCTAGTTTTACCATTCAGGGTCATGTTCTACGGAGGGGAAGGTCCAAAACTCATTCATGTGTTCCCTTCATTTCTGCCTAGGCATTCTTCTAAAATCCGTCCCTAGACATGAATTGATGCGATGGCAATAGAAACCCGAACTTGTTGAAACTTTCTTATCGAACCCTCATAGCTTGGAATGAGTGCATTTTTGTAGTTTTCGCCATTTTGGCCTAGGCCTCTGACAAGTGTTTTGAACCAATGCCTTTGCCACTTTTGTAGTTTTTTGTTGGTTGCGCAAGCACCTTACCGTGAGGGGGACTCCTCCCTGCAGGTGACAGAAGAAGGCGCCGACAGCACGAAAGCCCTAAACCAGCACATCTTCAGTTTCAAGTGCCCCCTCTAAGCCCCATGCAAAACCCCTAAACCTATTCGGACCCAGTCGACACTTGACTGCCTTTCTCCGATACTCGCAGCATGAGCCCGGCTTCGGTATAGAGGTTATTGTGGGTTCAAGGTAGTCTAAACTTCGATGTACAGAAGAATAAGGTGTATGTTGCGAGCCTCAGTAGTCAGTAGAACCAGTCCCGACTAACCCGGAGGCCAGCATAGTAAATTGTGTCCCACTTCACGTTTCTCATGTCCGCACCTAAGCTGTCAACTGCGCTAAGCCCTGAACCCCCAAACGCTTTGGGGTTCCAGACTGGTGCAGTTGTGGTTTCCAGTTTGACGTCTCACCGCCGGTACAAAAATATGACATATTCGAAGCATTACCTGCAGAGTTGATCAAGATCCCAAGCCTTAGACCCCAAGCCGTGACACCCTAAATCCCAACCCCACGCCATCAACCTCAAACCCCAAAGCCCTGAACTTTCTGGGGCCTAAACCCTCACCCCCCCTAAAACCTAGTAAACCCCAAACCCTAAAGCCTAAACCCAGCAAACCCCAAACCCAGTAAACCCCAAACCCTGAAGCCTAAACCCCTAGTCAGCCCTGGGCCAGCAAGGGCCGGCATGTCGAGTCGATTTCGCGTGGAGAGGCAGCTCTTGGTCTTTCTGGGAGAGTGGGGCGTTTGCCCTTTTTGCGGGGGTTTTGGGGGGGTGTTTGAGACTTCGGCTTTTTGGGCTTAGGGTTTAGGTAGGGTTTGGGGTTTTAGAGATTCCAGGTTTAGGAATTCTGCATTCTCTTTCCCCCCCGGGGTGCCTACCCCAAAGGCTGGGCAACTGAGGGTCCAGGATTCCTGGCTCAGGGTTGAGAGTTTTGATGGCTTAGGGTTCAAGCGGGGCTTGGGAGTATCTCGTGTCTCGTGGTCTAGAACCACACAGTGATGCCGGTTGGTTCACAGGCTTCCGTGTAGCATCCGGCAAGAAATTCAAGCTCTTGAGATCTGCCGAGCCCCATCTACAAGTACTTGTAGGGTTTATTTGAGGGTTTAGCTTGCAGAACAAACATTTGATCCACTACACTTCTGGTTGCTCTAGCGCGCGGCTGTATCTACATCTACCCACCCTATCTGACTGTTTGTTTGCTGGTCTCTGTCTCTGTCTGTATTGGTCTATACCTTTGCTGTCTACCTGTCTACCTGTCTCCGGATCGAATCAGCAAGCTTTAGAGTTCCGAGGGTGACAGCTTTCTGGGTCGCAGTACCAAGGATTCGCAAAAGCACACCTGAACCCTAAACCCTATACCCTAAACTCTAAACCCTGAACCCTGAACCCTAAACCCTGAACCCTAAACCCGACGCCCAAAACCCTAAGCTGTGTTCTCCCAGCCGTTTTTTCTCCTTTTAAAGGCCGCTCACGTGAGACCCCTGAGACTCCTCGGGGAGTCTCGGAGCGAGCCCGCCCGTCCGAATCGTGGTGGCTTCGCTTCTCAGGGGCACACGTGGTTTTTGGCCCCTATGGTTGTTGTGGCTTGTTTGTGTTTTTTTTCGTATGGCGCGGAAAGCCAGGAGTTCTAGCTCTTGTCTTGGCAACGAGGAAGTCCCAAAGGAAAGCATGCCAGCGAAGGTAAATAGAACCCCATCCGCTGTGCAAGAGGACGCGGAGATGACTTTAGAAGAAGTGCGTAAGGCATTGCCTGAAGAAGCAAATCAGTGCGCGATTTCTGCATGTTGTGATCCAGCATGACTGTGTTCTACCGTTCGGCCACGCACCGAGCTTGACTCGGTTGGAGCGTGAGTATCGTGCCGAACGAAGCCAATCCTGAGGTGTTACGTGCGGCAAACTACAACCTTGCATCCATCCCCATGTTGACCACGAAGCACTCGGCTGAGCTAGGTCAAGGGCTACTCTAGTTCTCGTTCTTGTCCGCTATCGCCGATGGGGATGTTGATACAGCCGTTCGCTATCGGAGCACGTTTGCCGAGGCCCACTTGCGTGTTAATTATCAATGCGCTGGTGTGCGCTGGAATGGAGCTGGTGCTTGTTCAAGAAAGGTCGCGGCACCATGCGTGTTGATGCCAACCTCCAACCTCTCCGGCCGCATACGCGTAATGGTGTAATTGCACCTGTTGCGATTCGTCGACTTTGGAAACATCGTTGCCGAACAGTTGAAACACAGACGCGACCCTTTGGTCACTCGGCTGATCGGGCGTGGCTTACGGCTTTTCGTGCTTTGGCGGACCTTACTGACGACGCTTATCTGGACGCCAAATACCTTCTTCAAGGTCTTCGTTCTCATGCTGCCGTCAGTCGGTTGAAGCATTGTCTTTGAAACTGCTATCGTTATTACGCAACCGTCTCAGAAGCAATACCGCCTCAAGACATGGAAGTCCGGCTTCGTCAGGTTGATTCCATGCAGGTGGTTCAGGTCAAGGAACGGCTCACACGTACCTCACACCTCGCACTGCACGCCAGTAAAGACGCCCAGCTCACCAGCTTGTAGTGTTTGCCAAAGGACGGGTTCGCGAACAGCTCAAGGAGGTTGTGGCCTTTTACCAGAGCGACCGCGACGCAGTCGTACAGGGCTTGAAAGAAAAGGGTGTGCCGCTGAAGGTCCGCTTGCACGAAGCGTTGCTCTGCAAGCTTGGGGAGTTCGCGACCCCCAAAAGGGCGGAGGCAGACACGGTGGCAAAGCAGCTCGTGAAAGTCGGAGCCAGCACCGGTGACGAACGGGAACAAGCCGCCAGAAGGTGACCCCGTTCTCACGTTCAGCTACACGGAGCTCGGCCAAAAGGCTAAAAGGTTGTGGTGCAGCTCGCAGTTGCGTCCAGTTTTCGCGAAAACTGGGGGAGGGTGGCTCGAGTTGGGAATCCGGGAAAGAAGCTGGAGACCTGGCAAACTACACCAGGCAGTGACGGAGGACCTCGGACTACCCCCCAAAAGCAAGGGCAAGGGCGCGGCTAGTGCGGCTGGAGTCAAGCGCCAGAGCGAATCACCGGGACAAGGTCGCGGAACTCGACGACGAGCACAGTGAAACGAATAGGGTGTCGCGCGGTACGCTCACAGTCGTTTCTTTCTAGCTGCCGGACAAAGCCTGTCCACGCAGTTTCCAGCACTGGTCCTGTCCGGGCTTTAGCGGAAGGGGTCCTATCCCCGCGCGTCAGAGCAGGTGTCGCCCTGGCTCAAAAGAACTGGTTTGTGCGTCGCTTTCCCCTGCCTTACTTGTGATTCGTCGTTTGGTTTGCGTCGACCTTTAACTCTTGTCAAGCGGTGGAGGTGCTTGACATGTTGTTTTTCTTCGCCGCAAGGCGCACGGAGATGAAGCCGCTCATGCGGCACTGCATCTACATCCAGGCTTGCGATGATGNNGATGGCCATCATCGGCATGTTCTTTCTCAGCAAGTCATGAGCCTCTACCAGGCTTTGAGAGTCACGCTCACACGTCCACTTCTTACCGTCTGATGGGCCTCTTCCGGCGGGGGAATCCACAGCCGCGCTCCGGTGCAAATCTTATCGCCCGAGCAGCCATGATGCACGGCAGCGTCATGGCTGTCCACAGTTTGTTGCCTGCGCTGGTAGCCGCTGTGGACGCAAGCTTGACCGAGATCGCCATCCGTGCAGGGCGAGCCGGCAAATTCACATTGAGAATTCGTTTCACTTAGCCACCATCAATACGCAAGGCTTGATTTGGACTAGTCTGCAGCAGCGCCACAAACTACAGTATGCTTTGCTAGCATGTCGCAAATACAAGTGGCACCTCCTCGCCCTCACGGAAATGCGTGATATCTCAGATCCGCTAGAGCTTAGCATGGAGTAGGTGGAGGAGTTTTAACTTAATTTCAAACTGTGGCCGGGTGGCCTTCCTCATTCCGTTTCACGTGCACACAGCATGGTCTGATTCAGGAAACCGATGGGAATCTCCGGACCCGGGCCTGCTTGTGATGTGCTTGAATCTACAAGGACAGGAGTATGCATTTGTGGCAGTGTGTATCCCCTCTGGTCAGTCTTATGAACAGCGTCGTTTGCGTGCCGACATTTTGCTACACCGGCGGCTATGTGACACGAAGCCTTCGTGCCTACAGATTTGGGGCGGCGATTGGAACGGTCACGCCGGTCGTGGCCACCGTACTCGGACAGGGCGGGTGACTGGTCGTGCTGGCCGCGTGGGTGACTGGATGTGGTCGTGCTGGCAAGGTCGTTATCATTCCCCCCCGTTACCCCTCCCCCCCTCTCCGCCCCGTTGCTCGTGCTGGCCGTGTGGGTGGCTGGATGTGGTCGTGCTGGCTCGTTATCATGCCCCCCCCCTTCCCCTCCCCCCTCCCCCGTCTCTCGTGCTGGCCGTGTGGGTGACTGCATGTGCTCGTGCTGGCCACGTGAAGCAACATCGTTATCATGCCCCTCCCCCTTCCCCTCCCTTTCCCCCCCCTTCCCTTCCCCCTCCGGTGACTGACTGGATGTGGTCGTGCTGCGTGCGTGCCCCCCCTTTCCCCCCCCTTCTCCCTCCCCGCGGGCGCACGCGTGGGCGCAAGTGACGGTGCTACCCAAACCGTGGGCGTGTGCTTATGGCAAAGGAAGGGAGATCTGATTTGAATCGACGCAGACTAATTGTCTTATACTTTCAACTATGTCTCGCTTGATTGCACGTGTTCTGGCGATGAGGCTTCGCCAGCACGTAGAGGACAGCCATAGGCTCCCAGCTTTTCAATGGGGCTTTCGGCCCAACAGAAACTCTAGATTTTCTGTTCCCCTTCAGCCGCCTCGAGCTCCTTTCAAGCCTTTGAATCCTCTTAAGCCATCTTATCAAAGCCGAAATCCCAAACCCTTTGTGCATTCGCGATGGAAAGAGGCCGGCCATGGGTTCGACGCCGCTCCGGCGAGAGGCCGAGGACCTGCCCGGCGCTGAGCGGCGAAACACGTTGTTTGGAAGCCTCAACATAAAGAACACGATTCCCCCAAACCATCTTCCAATTGTTAAGAAGAGGTAAGGTTCTGGATTTGGGGTTCCTTTTATGCGGTCCGAGTGGTTAAGGTCGGAAATGTCTGCTCATTCCATGGAGCTGTGGGGTTGTAGAAGGGCACTCTCAGCGTTTGTATACGACCCACAGTGCCGTGCTGCAACCCGGTGTCCGTGCACGGCTGTGAGCTGCAGCCAGTTGCCAAACAGGCAAACAGCAGGAGCAACGCGTACATCGAGCCTACGCTTGCTGCGTTCCAGGGCTTCTTCAGCTTGATGCACGCCAGCATGAACCGCGACTTGCATCCTGCCAGACCATGGCCAGCGGCCAACAATTGGGCGAGTCAATGCGTCAAACCAGAGAAGAGGCAGCTATGGCCCTGTCTGCCCTGGGAAAGCGGACTTCCGCACGGCATTTCAGCACCGGACATTGGGGTGGCACAGAAGCACAAGGGACAGATGGAGATGCTGACAGCAAGTGGGTCTCGTCTGGGCCATGCTTCCGACACAACATGGGGTCCAGACCGAACTGCTTCGGTTTTCGACGGCACGGGCTGTGCGTGTGGGATAGTCGTCGTCGGGTCATGGCTGCATCTCGCAGAACATAAAGCACTCGACATGCCTTTGTTGCAGGACTTTCGCTGCTGCAGCGCAACATCACAGCAATCCCTAAGCCGCAAACCTTAGAGTCCAAAGGCCTAGCCCCCAGTGCCTCGCTATGCCATGTTCCGGACATTAGGACTATGCCCAGAACACAAGGGCCTGCCACAGCTTCGGTACAATAGCAGAAAGACCAACCATTTTTCCTGCCAAGGGGTTTGGTAACGAACAAAGCTCTCCTATGGCCTTCGGGCCCCTTCGGGCCCCAGGGAGCCAAACACCCAAAGGCCAAAGCACCAAGCCCCGAATCCGAAGTTATGTTTCGGAAGTGGTTGCATCGCGGCGAAGCCCTGAAACCCAGAAGCCCTCAGAACCCGAAGAAGCAGCAAAAAAGCCAAGCCCCTGAGCTGCAAGTCTCCCAGAAGCTAACACCCCAGACCCTTTGCCAGCGCATCCGCCGAGCAAATGCCCCCTGGCCAGAAGACAATTTTGGCAAAGCGCGATGATGCGTTAGGCTTCATTATGGTTCTCACTCGTTTTTTTTTTTTTTCCTGTGGGTTTCGTCAATGTCGGTGTTGTGTGATGTTCATGCTGTTTGTTTTTCGTGCCTTGCGTATGTGTAGTTGAGAGAGTCTGCTCGAGCTTTGAAACTTCGAACGAAGAGTACCATGGACAGCCCTCGGGGGAGGAGCATCTGAGTATGATGCCGAGGGAGGTCTTTTCAGGAGGGCAATGAAGGGTCCCTATCGTCTCCTGAAGGTCCCCGGTACAACTCGCATTGCAGTAGCTGGGTATCCAGGATGTTAGGATGTTCGGCGTGAAAGGAGCTCAGCCCTGTTGGTCGCCCGCATGTTAGGTTGAAAAGCTCAGCGTGTCTTTTCATCGGAGATGCTCAGCCTGCCACGTCACCGAAGGTGTAGCGCAAACTCCTTGCATAGGGACCGCTACGCTCCAATTCCCCTACGAGCGAAGTGAACAAACGGAGCTGTACACTAGCTGAGCCGCCTGCCCAGACCGGGTCTGCTACCTGGATTCGAAATAGGAACCCGTGAAGCAGGTACCAAACGAAGCTGTTCTGCGTTCAGTCGGGGTATAGCAAGCAGGTTTTGGAAGAGAAAGGCTAAGCACAGTCCAGGTTATTCATAGAAAACCGACGTAGTTAATTCCTTGATTCTCCCCGCAGATCCGGCCTCAAAAAAAGGCAACTCTTCGAAGGAGAGAAGCATATCTTGAAACCTGAGCCTTTCAAGCCCTCAGGCCCCAGCCCATGTTGAAGTCTTGGAAAAGTCCCCCAGACAGCCGAATGAGAGCCGTCCTCGAGGCACAACGCGGTCATCCCAGATGCCATGGCTGTGTCGGGGTCCCGAGACAGCTCAAAGCTGCGTCCAGCCTCAACGGCTGGTCCTTCACTGGGTTTCAAGTTTAGGGCTCAGGGGTCTGGGGGGTAGCATGGTGCAGCGTTTACCGTGTTGTGCTTCGGATCTGGGGTTCGGGGCTCCATCTTTGCGGCAACCCGCTTGGAGCTGATACGGTGTGTTGCGACCGAGGCCCCACGAGTAGCCTCAAAGCCGCCGCGCTCAACTCCAAACCCCAAGTCCAAAGCCTAGACCCGACGCCCCAGACTTAGGCCCCTAAAGCATAAACCCCTAAACGGCCCTAAACGGCCCTACAGCACTTCAGCTGAGCTTGGGAGCTTAAGGGTTCTAGTTCTAGGTTTGAGAAATTTGGAGCCCGGAGGGACAAAGCCCTTGCAAAACCTACCATTAAGTAGACGCAGTAGTACAGACATCGTCGTCGCAACTGCAGCAGAACAATAACCACAAGCCAAAGTTGCTGCCGAACCCCTAAAGCTACGTGGAACTTGCTAAAGCCCACTGCCCTTATGCTTAAGCTCAGAAAACACATCAAGCCCTCGGCGATAAACCGCATACTGTGAACCCTGACCTCTTAACCCTGATCCATAAGCCCTGCCCCCAAATCTTGCTTCAAGTCCCACTCAAAACTGCAGCTGTGTACTTCCACGAAGCCATTAACCGACACTCTAAATCCCGTGTAAAACGTTTTATAAAACAAGCCGGCTTTAAAAACACAGTTGAAACAAGCCCTCCCACAGCACTCTTCCACGGAAGGCCCAGTTTTGAATATTTCCTTCAAGCCAACTAAAGCCACCTTCGGACACTTTTCCAAACTTAGACCCAGAGCGTGAAACACGAAAACCCCCTTCATCCCAAGCCCCCCAAACCCGTAGACACCCTTCAACTCAGGCCCCAAGGTCTTGAAGCGCCCGTAGAACCCCCATAGATCCCTTAAAGGAACCCTTGGACTCAAAGACCCTCCGCCATAAGCCGAGACCTAAAAAACACCCTTGGCAAGAGCCCTTGAAAAAGGAGCCCCATTCCAAGAGTGTGCTTTATGAAAAGCAAGGACGCTGGGCCTGCAGCTGGACATCGCGGCCGGTGGCCAAAGCATTCTTCTTTGGGAAGGTTGTCCAGCTTGTTTTTGAGACCTGTCTAGGAAGGTTTTTGCGAAACGACGTTCGAAGGTTTTTTTGTGAGGATTCGTACATCCGGGCTTTGTTGCGGCTTGTACTTTTGGTTTTGACTTTGGGGTGTTACAGGGTGGTACAGGTATATTAGAGGGGCTCCATAAGCGCTGGTTTTCCTGTTGACTCTGGGCTTCTCCCTCACGTTCTATGTTGTGTACGGTGAAACACATGGGTTCCCAGAGCGTCCTCCTCCCAAAGAAGAAATGGGCTTTGAAGACTCAGGGCTTTGGGGATTCAGGGCTCTCTGTCTCCGCCTCCGCCACCCTCTTTTAACTCCAACTGAACCTCGTTAGGTAAGCGCCCAAGTCCCTTTCCAAGCCCAACGGGGGGAGATACCTCGTTTTCCTGAAAATACTAATAAATGGCCCTTGAAGAGGTTCCACGCCGAGGTTTTCCGGGTGGCCGGGCGTAGGCTTGGGCATGGAGGTCTGGGGTTTGGGTGGTAAGGATTGAGTAAGAGGTCCAAGGTCGGGATCTGACGCGGGCATGGTGTTTGGGTTTTAGGGTGTGCGGCCGGTGCGACGTATGGTAGGATTTCTGTAGTTGGGAGCCATGTGAGGGTT